ATTTATATTCTTCCTTTTTAATTTTCAAGCCTTTTATTTCCTTATCTTATCTTTCTATTCAAGACCTCCAATGTTAACACGAATAACAATGGTCAGTACAATATTCTTAAAAGCAGTGGATTTAACTAGAAATGTTTCCAGGTTTAATTTTATGTTTTGCATTAAATAAACTGGAAATGTGGCTATTTTAAATGTGTATCACTCTTTGAAAAATGCTTCTTTAGAGATTTCATCAGAAGCCTGCAATGCCAGTAAATTTAATACATGTTAATAAGCAGGCAGGTTTATAAACTCAGCATTTACATTCTTCAGTGGAGTCATGTTTTATAGATTGAATCTCTGTTGTGTACCCAACTGATATTATTTGTCCATTTTGGACTTCAACTCCCAGAATTCTGAGCCAAAATTCCTATGACCAAAATATTTTAATCTTAGAGTTAATGTTTGGCACATCTGGAAGACATTGGAAAGCAGAGTAGAATAATTGGTGCTATTTATTTTGAGTATAGAACTGTATATGTACTACATATTTGGAAAAAATAGTTCATCAAATAATCCTCAAAGAGTGTTAGACTTATTCTCTTATAAAATATCTTCCATAAAGAACAAGTGGAAATCATATTTTCATGTAACTCTACTTCCTAATTTTTTTCCCGATAAAGCAATATTTTTGTAGCTTTATACTCTACTGGCAAAAGACATAGCCATTGCTTTGCTTTTCTCAAGTTTTACATGTATAGATTAACAGTTGCTTTCTTTGTTATTTTTATAGTATTTGTTGTGATGGGAGAGATTAGATATTTTCTCCAAACAATGAGTAAAAATGAGTCCTCTCCTTTGTTCTTTAAATGCAGCAGAGATTCTGATTCTTTGGGATCATTCTGTGTGCTAGGTGTGAGAGAGCACAAAACTAATCAGCTGAAACCAGATTCATTAAGTCATTTCTACTTCACCTGCTTAGATGTTGAATACTGCTACAAAATATGTACTATAGAAGAGTCAGAAAAGATTTCTGGTTGACCAAAAGGATGAAAATCCAAATAATCAAACACAATAAATGAGGCTTTAAAACAATGATGCTGCAATAGGAACAATATTATTAATGATGGGTGTATGCATGTACACATTTCCTATTATGCTTATGGGATATTATCAGGAAAAAGGCTATTAAATTACTTTTTGCTAGAGTAATAATTGAAAATTTTGAATATAGCACTGAAATCTAGTAGAAAGTGTTTGATTTTCTAAAGTATAGAAGACTTGCTTCTCCAAATTCTTAAATATTTGAAAAAAAAAATGGCTTTTTACCCAATATCAAAAAATTAACCTAGTAGCTACATCTGAAGATCATTCTGAAAAGCAACTGTCACAGTTCTATAATTACTTGTGGAGTTCCTCAGAGTTAGTATATTAACATTCATTTTGACGTTAATGCATATTCCAATATGAACCTGTTCTCTGATGCTTCCAGTCAAGTTTTTCTTTATCACCACCATTTCTTCTTTCTTTTTTTCCCATGATATTTATTGTGAAAGGGAGAAAAAAACAGAATAGCTGCCTAGGAACTTTAATTGGTAGCTGTTGGAACAATGTGTTAGGAAGCACCCAGAATCTCATGTGTGAGTTATTTTCACCCAGACAACCTGCTGGGTTAAGGTCAGGAGTGGATAACCTTTCTGCTGATAGCTGCATTTCTTCAGAGTAATCTGTCAGGGGCCATATTGGGGGACCGGTTAAAGCAAGCAATGAGTGAGGTCAGAGCCAAAAGTTGAGACACATTTTATCTCAGAGACCCTCCCTCTTTTCTCTTTTTCTCTTCATCCACTTCTGTAGAAAACACTGTGGGGAGAAGAATAGCACCGTATGATTATTTTTGTACAAAACCAAATGCTTAAATTAAGGCAAGATTAATCAGAATATTGCACAAACATATTTGTTACAAAGAGTAAAAGCTTCACCCTTTCTTTCACCATACACTTTCTATTTCAGAAGGAATCTATAGTAATAACAGTAGCCAGAATGAGTCTAACCTTTTCTATCAGTTAATTTAAGTTTGTGTATATCATAGCAAGCTTTTCTCAGAAACTCTATTTCTAATTATGCTGCTTTATTATCTCTATTGGATGCAGTAGATAATGGACTATAATCTGCTCACTGCAATTGGATGAATTATTGAAAAGGTTTACCAGAGCAAGAGTATCAAAAATAGAGGCATGTAATGGATCAGATGATGATCACAGTAGCAGTTTCTTCTGTGAAAATAGATGTCACAATTTCACCTAATGCTTCATTTTCAGAAACTGCCTTGTTAGCAGGCTATCTTATGTTATTTGGTAGTTAAACTTTTTTTTCTCACTTGGATCTGCTGTTTTCTTATCCCAAGCTATTGCAGCATTGACAAACCTATTTACTTTCAAATGAACCTTTATCATATCACAAAAAGTTATGTAAGTAATAATAACAAAACTAATAAACCATATAATTTGATTGACTTGCTCATAAGATCCTTGTGATGAGGAAGCCAATAATACAGATCCTCTTCATTCATTTTCAGTTAGAAGCAGTTTACTCCAGCAGATGTTCTCCAATTCTGTACTACAGATTTAAGAATTAACTATTGCTTGATCTTTAGAAGTAAAACTACTGCTGAAACTTAAAACTACAAGTACATCCCAACTACAAGTAAAAGCCCATTGAGAAGTAGGTTGTTTCTCAGAATTAAATTCCAGACTGCCTGATTTAGTCATAATACTAAACCATAATTTATTTTGTTTGTTTTTGTTTAGCATAAAGTTCAAACTCATACAATATGATTGATAAATCATGGTTTCTTCATTGGGATGGGTTCACATATTGTGCTAAACCCAGCAAATTCTAAAATATATTATATTTTAGGATTCAGGGTTTATATGTTTAGCAGCCCGAATCCACTAAAGGCCAGTTAAAAGCTTTTATCACACTTCTGGATATATAAATCCTTGAGATCTTTGCATTATTTTTGTTAATGACACCTTGTGTGTTAGAATTATTAACATTTACAAAACCTACTGTTTGTACTCATCAAAATCTGGAAAGTCCTAATTAATGCTAATGGTATACATTCCAGAATAACTTATTAATAAAGAACTGATACTTTGAAACCTGTGTAAGTATTTCTTAATAGGCCATCTACAGAGATTGAGTAACAGTTGTCATTGTGTGATGAATAACTTTGCCAGGTCTGCATGAAAGGCTTTTTAATGCAAACCTCAGCATGCTTAGCTTGGTTTGATATCCTGTTTGTCTTAATTACAGTCAAGGAAGAGCTTGGCTTCTTTCCCGACCTATGTTGAAGGTAAGCTGTCAACTTATCTTTTGTTTAAGTTTCCAATTGGTCCATACAGATATATAAAGTGGGGTGTATTATTAGACTTAAAAATGTTCAGATTCACCTGAATGCTTTCTGAGATCTGTATTGACACATAAAGAATAGAATAACGTCTGAGAAGAAAGTGGGCCGTATCTTTTTAGATTGCAGAGGAAGAGGTGCCATCACTGAATGATTTATCTATTTAAAAGAGTAACGACTTTCAAGAATTGTGGATTTTTAGGAAGAGGAATTGGCTAAAAGAAGTACACTGGAAGGAGAACGATACACCTGATTAGAACAGTGGATTGTTCATCTGTTTTGTCTGTCAGGATTTGAATTAGGGTTTTATTCAACAAAAGTCCAAGGAAGAATTTCAAGTAATATGGTCACTATTTTGGAATTGTTGTTTATAACTTCATTTCCATTTTCTTTACTCCCCTTTATGATGATGATTAAGTTTGAAGTTACTACTGTTTTACTAAGTTTGAAGTTAGTACTGTTTTACTGACACAATTTATTAATATTGTTACATAAATTTGTGTAGTTTTGTTTATTGATTTAACACAATACAATTATTGTAAGAAGGTTTAGTGGTTGATTTTTAATGAGATTCTAGCCCAACCACATGTTTTTGCAACTACCTGAATCTTCTACTTTGTCTCCTCAATGATGCTCCTCTCAGAGAAAATATCCCTCTAGAGTCAATAGAGCATTTATCCCAATTCAGGTAGCCACTTTAGGGGATCCTGCATGAGGCTGAATTGGTGGTAAAAGTAGCATCTATCACTTTGCTGATTTCCCCATACCTGCTATTTAACAGAGAAAAAAGAAGCACGACATCTCACATCGCCTCTGTTTTGGCGTATGTAAACTTACTTCATATCTAGTATAGGATTGAACATAATGATTTTCCTAGCCAAACTCAGGAGAAATCTCCTAGATCCCACCACGACTATCACATTTTTCTCTTCTGCATATCTGTTCAGTCACGTGCTCCTATTACTAATCCAAAAGGGTCTGTGGTGTTAGTAGTAAGTGGCTAGTGAGAAATCAAGGGGTGTTGACTTTAAATTGGCATGCAAGCTAGGGTTTGTCAACTAAAGGATTAGTACCTAGGCTTTTTATATTAACTCATGTGATCATTTTAATTTAAATGTGACTTAAAAGACATATAGATTTTTAGATTCAAATCATATTTATCTGTAATTCAAGTCATACCTGCAAATGCTACTCTTTTTTTAAAAAATGGTTACATGATACATGTGTTTTTCAATCAGATATTAGGGGACATACATGTATCAGTAATTCAGTATGGCTAATTTGCCTGTACAATAGATCAGAAGTGGACTGAGCTTTAAAGTAAACACACTTCAAAGCAGTTTTTTGTGCATGCTTATATTTAGCATTGATAGCAACAATAAGGAATAATAATTTTGCATGCCTCTGGCTGTACACTAAATTATGTTCAAACATATTATGTATGGACATTTGTGTTTTTTAAAGAAACTCAGACTAACATCACCTGAAAACTGAATAATCAGGAACTGAGTTGAAATAGCTAGTTAAATGATACCTTGACTTATTTTTCCTTTGGTTTATACATTCATAGACTTTGTTGGATGGATTGATAATGTTTTATTTTACTCCTTATGCCCTAATAACCCTCCCTCCATGGATATCTATGAAGGAATGAGTAACAAAATGTGTGTTGTGACATTCAATGCAAACTGCACTCCTTTTAGCTCTGGATTCAGCAGATGCCTCTGCTTCCCCTGTTTTTTCAACATGACAAACCCATGAGATAATTGTACTTGAGGCATAATGACACAGTGCAAGGATGAGTAAGGATTTAAACCAGGATCCTGCAGCCCTACTCTGAAACTTTTACTACTGCAGCAACACTAGGTCTTGTTCTGAACATTCTACAGAATTATTCTAGGGTCTGTATATAACATCTAACTAATTTGTATTGCAATCCAGAACATTAAAAGTCAACTGTAAATTAGGCTGGTTGCAATCCTATGTATTCTTGGAGAATGAATTGCATTCAACTTATTGGGATTTGCTTCTTCAAAATATGCATAATAGTTTCTTCTAGTTATTAGGCAGCTACTGTACATTTTAATTACATGGATGCAAACTTCAAGTGGCTTTTTGATAATTATGCTAGCATTTATAGTTTGATTCTAACTTAGTTGCAATTTTGGTTGAATATTAATTTTATATTACATTTTCATAATTAATCTTGGGCCATGTGATTTTTTATTTGAACCAAAGGAGTCAGTTCCATCATTTAATTATTACATGCTTGGCCTTTTAATTCATCTGAGTAAATTTGCTTTAATCATCCAAAAATGTAAATATATTTAGATGACAATTTACATTTCTTAATGATCCTAGCAACAGCTAATTAAAAATTAACAGCTAATTAAATATTTATAGATGTTTTAATTTAATTCTATCTTTATATGACTTTTACCCCAACATTTGCTATCCTAAACTTTATTAGCAATCAGTACCTGCCTTTTTTTTAAGTTCACAAAAAGTACAATAAACTTTGAATTACTCAACTTCATTGGATGTATGTTCTTAGAAAGTGTTATTTTATTAAGCAAGGTTATGGCACAGGTGTATATGGAGGAGCTGTATGAATTGCTAGAGTCTGTTTTCTCAACCACAAATTCCATGGCTGAAGAAGCAAACATTTTCAACTGAAGATGAGGAGAGAATTAATGCAGAATTCCAGCAATGCATGGTGCTCTTTCACACATACATAGATGTTCTTTGTACCCTGGCCATATCCGAGAATGCCACCTTTTCATCTCTGACCCCTTCCACTGTGGACAATAGAAAAGTCAAATTACTTCTCAAATCAAGCTGTATGCTATCTCAGCCAGAGTTTTTTTTTCCCCCAATATCTTTTCTCATATCAGCAGGACTGAAATTCTGTTTGTCTCAAAGAGAAGTGCATTATATTTTCTTATATTAGCAAGCCAGATAATTCACTTATTGACAAAATAAGTTATCTAATAGTAGTAAAATATTTTAGAAGAGTTCCATCATTTTATGTCATTGGGACTGAAACATGATTTAGGAAGTAGTGCTTTATAAATTTATGGATTCTATACAACAGTCAAGGTAAGTTTTTTCCCAGGATTGCATCTAAGTATATGTGCGAGTTTCATTGTTTAGAAGCACAAGTGAATTGTTGGGAAAGCCAGTTTGGTGTAGTGTTTAAGGCACTGGGCTAAAAACTGGGAGACCATGAATTCTATTTGCCCCTTACGCACAAAGACAGCTGGGTGACCTTGGGCCAGTCATTCTCTCTCAGCCCTAGGAAGGAGGCAATGACAAACCACTCCCAAAATCTTGCTAAGTAAACTGCAGGGACCTGTCCAGACAGTCGCCAGGAATCAACACCCACCCACCCACACACACCCAGAGTGAATTGTTGGCATTTTGAAAATCCAAAATCTTGCCCTTGTTTGGCCAAGGACGTTTCAAAATCTGTGGGTAATCTGGAAAAAGGATACATTATACTCAATGAAAGTTAGGAGAAGCTTTTCCTTGGTCAGGGCACAAGGTTTCAGGGGTCTTCATAATGCCTTAGTAATGGTCCAACCTATCCTGTTGTGTAAACATTTCAGACTAAACCAAGCAAAACTGGTGTTTTCATCCTCCTCTCTGCCCTTTTCGAGTTACTGCACACATTTCAAAAGAAACATTTGTATTACTATGTCAGATCCATAATTAGGATAGATGTATGTGTCAGAGTCACCTTACACTGACACATTATTTTATTTTATTCATTTAAATTATTCATATGCCCTCCCCCCACCCCATCTCACAGTGGGGGTGACATCACAGCAGTGATTCTGGGTGGCTACAAAATTAAAAGAGCAAAAATCCCACAATCCAAACAACAGTGTCTGAGGTTAAAACAATCTCAATTTATAAAAAAACAATTTTAACCAACAGAGCTTACCCAACCCTTTGGCCCAAATGCTTGAGGGAAACAGCCAGGTCTTCAGTGCCTAGAGAACTAACATCAGTATCTACTTCCAGCTACCTACAATCCTCCACAGGTTATATTTTCTGCTGAATAACCAAGACTAAAGAATAATGGGCATTGCTAGGGCAGAGGCATGAATGTGTTTTGTGCCTTTCTGAGATGGGAAG